ATATATATATATATATATATATATATATATATATATATATATATATATATATATATATATATATATTTATATAATATTGATACGGAAGTTCCATACATACAACAACGTATGTAACAATAATCTGCCTTTTCTATCATTTAAATAAACATATCGCAAATAACAATTTCGTGAAAATGTTATGAGTAAAATATCACACAATATATTTATGAGAATCACTCATAAGCTGTTCACACATTTGACATTTCTTTCAGAGATTTACAACTAATTTCATATCTTATGCAAATTCTCACTTATGTGCATGCACCTGTACTATTGTGTGTTGTACTTGAGCGCGCGTATTTTAGCCAGTATAATTGGTCAACTTTAATCGTTTATAATTTAAAAAGTATTATAACCTCGACATTAGGATTTTTTTCTTCAAATTACTTCAGAGATCCATCCTTAAGAGATTAATGCGGTAGTGGCGGGACAACCGTATGTATATTCTAAACAAAAATGTCTTCTCTTTCTGTGTAAGAATACATACGCGTATGAACGGTATACTGCCGTGCCAAGGAAAAAAGTGGTTAAGTCACAAATGTTAACCACTTTTTTCCTTAGCACGGCAGTATACAGGATTAGAGAAAATGAGTGAGCCGGCATCCTCCGCCGACTCTCCAAGTACCTTCTGCCTTCTGTCTCGCGAGCGTTCGCTCGAGTAACTGAACCGACGCGGATTACGCAGTCGCGTCGCGGCGGGAAATTGCAGTTGAAAATTGAAAGTGAGACCCGTCGATTGCTAGAAAGCGGCGTGTTAGCACGTTCGCGATATGATGTCCGCGAATTGTCGATAAATTTGATCGCGAATTTGTTTGTAACATGTCAACGGACAGAAAAGAAGTCATGACACGCTTGCCACGCGCGGCTCGCACGTGCGAACCTTCGTGGCTTTATCGCGTCGTGCTCGAAGGAGCGATGAGGAAGAATGCAAATATGTCATTAAGATTTCCAGTTTCGTCTCGTACGTGTGCGAGCTAATACTCGCGATAATCACGGCTATCCACCGTTATTCCACGTTCTACGTTTCGACCGTTGGGTCGCTGATTTGCGTATTAATTAAATTCACTTCTTTTTATTAATTTTCACTTTTTTTCATTAATTTGCATAATCCATCGCGAATAATATTTGTGTTGAAATCGATCTGTGTAGAAATCTTTGTGTGCAAAATTTTTTATATATACAGAGAGAACGATTTACTGAATCAAATAAATGTTCCTTTGGAATAGTTCAAACAAATTATTTGGTTGACACAACAAAAATATTTCTTTGGAACTAAGCGGCAAATAAATATTTTTGTTGCTTCAAACAAAATTTTGTTCGATCAATCGAAAAATTTATTTAGACTATTCCAAAGAAACCTTTATTTGATTCAACTAAATCGTTCTCTCTATATATCGTGTGTTAATTTAACATATTATGTTATTTTTACTCTTCTATATTTGAGTTTATATTCATCACATCTAAGTGCATTAAACATCTATATTAATTATGTTAACACAATCTATATATATATATATATATATATATATATATATATATATATATATATATATATATATATATATATATATATATATATATATATATATATATATATATATATATATATATATATATATATATATATATATATATATTTATTTATTTATTTATTTATATATATATATATATATATATATATATATTTATATATATGCAGTATATATACACATACTAAATAGACATGTATGTTAAAAAAAATCCCTATTCTTTTTTTTGTTTTTTATGATATTTTGTCGCACACATACATACTTATTTCTGTCTCCCGACAAAATAACTCATTTCCCGCTAAAATAAGATAGTCTATATCTTTTAAAATACTAATCACGGCAAGCTAACTAAAAAAGGACAAAATTAATAAGTCGGATTACGAGGTTGACGCGGGAAGAATGTGGTTCCTCTTCTCACGACAAACAGGCATTAATCGATAAAAGCTTTTTACTAAAATAATCGGCAAATTAATTATCAAAATTCGTCGATCATATGTAAGATCACAAATAGCTTAATTGATTAATCAAATTAATGATATCAAACTTTGATGTAATTGTGCGCTGATTAACAATTAATTTTATCGCTCGATTAAATTATTCGTGGTTACATACATGATGATTATCTAATAGTGATTATCGATTTGTCGATTATTATAAATGGAGAAATTTCTCGTCGATTAACGCCCAACACCGCCCCGGCTGGTCGCGCGACCGAATTAAATGTCTCAATAATTTTCACGGTCGACGTGTACAATACAGCGCTTTTCACGGCCTCTCTAATTTACGCTCTGAGACGCTCGTCGAAGTCGGCAGGCCACTTTCTTGGACTGGATCAAAGTGCTCACACAGTCATGTGCAGCGAATGAAAGTAGAAGTGCACGTTACTACCGGGTTGATCAATGCCGAAGAAATTACATAAGGTGCTCTAATCTTTAGAGCTTATACTAAACGTCCACATTAAGTTAGATTCGAATGCAAGCTGGTCTCTCTTGGTCAATCTTGGTATCAAGAGTTTCTCTCGTTGAATCTTACGTATAATCAATCGAGTAATCGTTAATTGCTAAATTGAATTGGTAAGGTCGGTAAATTAAATGGAATAAAAGTAAATTCGTGAAGAATCAGTGGTGAAGTTTCACTAGATTAAATTGAATAAGAGACAATCGTAAATCCGAAGTTAAAAATATGCATTCTTAATATCACTTTATATACTTGCGTTTTTCAACATATTCTGTAGTCATGTTTCTCTAGACACGGTCACTTCATTTGCATGGAGAAGAAATGCAAATAAATATATTATTGATATAAGTGTAATTGAGAATTTAAAAAAAAAAACTATTATGTATAATAATTATATAATAATAATAATATAATGTATATAATAATTTTTTTCATCTAAATTTTTTTCAATTTGACTAGGTTTTTAATAGCGTGGAAATAGTCTGTCAACAAAAGCTATCTTGCTAAAAAAAAAAAAAAACAGTGAGTTTCGTTAAAAATAATTTTTTTAGTAAATTTTTTAACAGCACATTTCGACTCCTGAGATATAAATAGCATACGAAATAAAAGGATAGTCAATTACTGCACGGAAAAAAAAGATTTGGTTGAAATAACCAAATATCTGGTCGAATACGAACGATCCAGAAATTTCGATTAAAGTAACCCGAATTCTGCTTAAGTTAACAAGATTTTTGGTTGACTTAAACAGAATTCGGGTTACTTCAGTCGGAATTTCTGAATCGTTCATATTCGACCAGATATTTGGTTAATTCAATCAAACCTTTTTTTCCATGTGAAATTCACTCTGGTTAGTCTACCAAAAATCTTGTTAACTTAAACAGAATTCGGGTTACTTCAATCGGAATTTCTGGATCGTTCATATTCAACCAAATCTTTTTTTTCCGTGTGTAGAATGTCAATCTATTCTACGATCCTTACATGGTCCTGCGGTAATGTTTACTACAAAATTCTCCACGCGTAGAATATAAATAGAAGTAGTAAGGAATGTAGAATAATAACTTTGCAATTCGTCAACATGCAAAAAATTAACAGAAAAAACATTGCGTGCAAAAAATTACTAATCATCGTCTGTTAACAACGACCTTTGAAACATCTCATTTTTTTTTCTTGCATTTCAGACGGACGCGTAGAGTACAACCCGATCGCCGGCTTATCGGCTGGTAGAAGTGGTCGGTAGTTGTTTCGTAAGCCCTAGGTAAGGCCGAGCTACGACGCCACGACTCGTCGCGAGCTTTCGCAGTTCGAGAAATGACAGGCTGAGCGATCGATCGCTCCAGCCACGGAGAAGCCGAACGCAACTCTCGTGAGGAAACCTGAGGCGGGATTACGCACGTCGACTTCGCCGACGGTGTCCGTGCACGTCGCGTACACACCACCAGCAAACATGACGTACCTGTACTCCATCGGGGAAGTGATCGTCTTCCTGGCGCTGTCGATCTTCGCGATAGTGGAGAGCATCGTCAAGACCTTCATACCGAATAAGTACAAGATGAAGAGCATCAGCGGCGAGATCGCCCTTGTCACCGGGGGTGGCGGTGGTTTAGGCAGACTTCTGTCTCTCAGGCTGTCTAAGCTGGGCGCCATCGTGATCGTCTGGGACATCAATGAGAGCGGTGAGTGGAATTCGTCTTGAATGAGCACAGGTCTGCATGATTTTAATGTTTGACAGTGGTTTCTTACGTAATTTTATGCGCTAAATACGAATCTCAGAATTCTAAATACGAGTCTCAGAATTTGCCTATCACGTGCGATATTCAAGATAAATGAGATTAAGGGCCGGTTTTTCAATAATAGTTTAAACTTAGATGTTAACTTGAACTCTGTTTAAACAAAACAAACGCATTGTTAGAATAGAGTTTGAACTTGAATGAAGTTTAAACTGCTATTGAAAAATCGGCCCTAAATGTCTTAAAAATAATGTTTTCGATCAACTTCATGCATTTATTTTAGAGGCACCACATTATTTCTTTAATATTTCTGTTAATGTAATCGCATAACACTAGTCTTTTTCTTTTAACATCCATTTTCAATCGTCCTCATAATTTCGTAACTTTAAAAAAGTTACGACTGATAAAAAAAGTTAAAAGTCGCGACTGATAATCTGCATAATGCGTAAATGCTGATATCGCACTGCCGTTATCGCGTTCCCGAGCTGTTGACTTTGTTCAAAAGCTAAGATCGTTTCGCGAGTAGAAAAATAGCAATACCATAAACAGAATCCATCAGGATTGGCATTCAGGAAATCCCGATGGTCGTCGGTCGATAAAAATCGACAATTGAAGGCCTCATCATAAACACAAGGTTAACTGCTGAATTTCAGGGTCACTTTGTGCACATACACGGGTTACTAATGACGTTTGAAAAGCGCGCGCGCTCTCTCTCTCTCTCTCACGGTGTTTAGCAGAAAAATATGTAAAAATATCAAAATTAATAAAAACAAATAGAAATGAAAATTAATTGGACGTACAATCATAAATCATGGCGTACGCGCAGAACGAATTTTTTTTATTATAGCTTTAATTCATTATACACATTTACTATAAACATATAATCGCGTCGATATATAAGACTCCTGACTCTTCTCGATTGATAACGTCAGAAGCGCGAAGATGCATGCACGGAAAAAAAATATCTGCTACTTACGGACAGCTAAACATAATTTGCTGTATTAGCCACCTTTTCTTTGTTGCAATTTTCTTGCTATGATAACAAGAAAATCTGCTCCTGCAACAAAAAAATAGCTAAAGCAGTAAATTATATTTAATTGTCCGTCTGCAAATCTGCAAAGTGGCTAAAGTAGCAAATTTGCTACGTCAGCCAATTTTCTTGCAGGAGCAAATTTTCTTGTTATCATAGCAAGAAAATAGGTTCCTGCAGCAAAGAAAAAATAGCTAACACAGCGAATTATATTTAACATACGTAGCAAATTATCTTGCTGCTGCAGCAAATTATTTTCTTCTGCGTGTTCGAAATTATATATTTTTTATCTTTAAATAAAAAATATTAATACGAAAGAATACTTGGAATCATTTGTAAAGTGCTTTGAAAACTATCATTTTCCTTTGACAGTCTCTAAATAGCCATAAAACTAGCGTGATATGCAACCTTCTCCTTTTACCTGCCTTTTCTTGTGATTTTGTCACGTTAATTTATTTTATGGCTTTTTATCGACTGTCAAGGAAAAATGACAGTTTTCGGGATATTTTACGAGTATGCTCGAGCTATCCCAAGTGGTCCTTCATTCGGATATTTTTCTTCTTTGAAAATGACACAAGAATTTTCAGCGCGTCATTTCTTGCCTCTGACATCACGATCCAACATGGCCTCGGCTAATACTCAGGAGCCTTAAAAAGCATACTTATTCTTTATTCATGTATTCTTTATATTTAGTGTGTATTTTTTTCTCTCTCCTAATTAGCCGATGATTAGCACATTCAGAAGTCAGCACTGAGTTTAGGTAATTATCGGAGCTATCTGAGCGTGCAAAAGACAAGCGATTCTACTCGCGATTCTCAAACGGAAAAAAAAGACATGGACTACTAAATATAATTTGTTGTGTTAACCACTTTTTCTTTACTGCAGGATTTCCTTGCTAAAATAACAAGAAAATCTGCTTCTGCGACAAAAAAAGTAGCTAAAACAGATGAAATTATGTTTAGTTGTCCATCTGTAGCAATACAATTTGCTGTGTTAGCCACTTTTTCTTTGCTGCAGGAACCAATTTCTTTGCTAAGACAGCAAGAAAATCTGTTTCTGCGACAAAAAAAGTAACTGAAGCAGATAGTTAGTTGTCCATCTGTAACAAATTTGCTGTGTTATCCACTTTTCTTGCTGTATGAGCAGATTTTCTTGTTATCATAGGTTCCTGCAGCAAAGAAAAAGTAGCTAACACGGTAAATTATGTTTAACTGTCCATATATAGCAAATTAGTTTGCTGCTGCAGCAAATCCTTCCTTTCCGTGGCAGTATTCCCCTGCCGACCTGTGATACGCGCGATCGGCGATCGTTACGCTCCCGAAGAGCTTCACTTTCCCTTTTATTTCGATCTCCATTTGTTTAATGAATCACGTCCCCGGCGTCGCATTGTTATTCCATGGGTGTAGCCGTCATTGTTCGATTCACAGCCGTCGTCTTGATATTAATCGTTGATACGTTACCATATCGGCGGACTCCCAAGCACACCGATGATGATTCCCGACGTTAAACTTGCGGGAGCGCGATTACATCACGATTCAATCCGCGCGTCTCCGAGCGCGACGTCGGATCTGTGAAAATGTTTGCAATGTCGGCGTCGCGCGACCCTTCGAGCATGCTGCGCGATTATTTATTCCTTCCTTCTCCTTTTTCCCTCCTCTTGTACGATCAATGCCAATGGAAGGCCGTTATGCAGGAACCAATTGCGAGTTCACGGACGCAGACACGATGCGACGTGCGGAATTTTAATACGCGCTCATCGCGAACGACTGCAGAATGCTTAGGTAATCCCACCTGTGTGTGGCGGAGATACGCGCGCGCGTGTGTGGTGGATACTCCGCTACTTCGATACAATCGAAGTCGAGTAATCGTGCCGGTATTTCGGCGCCGCCGCGATACCCTGACCCGTGAATCAAACGTCAGAGTTCTGCTGTGCGCTTAATCCTGCAATTTTTATCGTTATCCTCGAATGTCGTCACGCAGCTGTTATGTCACGTGTTAAAAAGTTACGGAATAGACCTGCCGGTCGCTCGCCGCGGGACTCTCGATCGATGACATCGAAAATGATGGCGAGACGGCGCGTGCCTAAAATACCTGCGCGTGCTGTTTCCGAGTGAAAAGATATTTGTATGACAGGATGATCGTTTTGACATACGCACAGAAAAATACATACTGCATTCGAGTACTTGGTTTGTACACGTTTTATACACGGAGAATAGTAGAAAGTAATTTTGCTCTTTGAGGGGGTTACTTCAGTCGGAATTTCTGAATCGTTCATATTCGACCAGATATTTGGTTAATTCAATCAAACCTTTTTTTTCCATGTGAAATTCACTCAAAATGCATTTTTCCTAGTAAGTTTAGCATCTCGAGCAAGAATATTAAATGAAAAGAAAGAAGTAGCAAAATCGTCGTTGCTACTGCATACTCGTAGTGACATCAAAAATATTTAGTTGACGTAACTACAAATTATTTACAAATTATTCGTCATCAAAGCAGAAGCAGTTTCGTTGCTCAGGATAGAAAAGATTTGTTGAGTATATTTGTCCTAAAAATCACGTTATTATACGAATTTGTTATTGATGCAAAATAATGTATCCTTAGCAAATTTATTTGCTATTGGAGCAAAACTGCGACTGCTTGTATAAATCCATCATGGTTCTTATAGCAAAATAATTTATAGATTCAGCAAATTATATCCAACAAATAGTGATTAGTACTCTTAGCAAGTCTTTTTGTTGTACATATAATAATGAAAAGATTTTGCTAGACCAGCAGAAAATTTGCTAAGCTAGTAAATTATTTTTCTCCGTAAGTAAGTTTGTGTATCCAAAAATTTACCATAAGTTCATCATAAGCCTGCACGGAAAAAAAGATTTGGTTGAATTAACCAAATATCTGGTCGAATATGAACGATTCAGAAATTCCGACTGAAGTAACCCGAATTCTGCTTAAGTTAACAAGATTTTTGGTTGACTTAAACAGAATTCGGGTTACTTCAGTCGGAATTTCTGAATCGTTCATATTCGACCAGATATTTGGTTAATTCAACCAAACCTTTTTTTCCATGTGAAATTCACTCAAAATGCATTTTTCCTAGTAAGTTTAGCATCTCGAGCAAGAATATTAAATGAAAAGAAACATTCGGTTTGCTAAGTCGAGTCGAATCGACCTTTTTAAAGTCGATTAAATAGCTTTATTAATAGCTTTATAACATTCTTGTAAAAAAAGAATCATTTTTTTTCTTTTGAATGCATAATAATGTGCTCTTCTAAAATTTGTGATGGATATATTTCCAGATTATTATAAAGAAAATATTGTTTGTTGAAAATAACCGTTACTTAAAAGAAAGAAAGTAAACTGAGTAATTGCTTCTACTGAGTACACTGCGAAGAAAATTTATGTCTTATACTTGAATATTTTTTTGTGGGATGTAAAGTTTATTTCTGTGAAATAAAGCTCATTTCTATGAAATAAGCTTTTGCCTCACAAATAAATGTTCAAGTATTCTTTTGTGTGGAATGATACTTTTCTGAATGTAAACTGTAAAATACTGCGAAAGCTATCTTTCTCCCTTGACAGTGAATAGACAGCTGTAAAATCAATGCGACACGCAACCTTCCTCTTTAACCTACCTTTTCTCAGGATTTTGTCACGTTAATTTTACGGCTATTTATCGACTGCCAGGGGTAAGTATTCTGCAAGTACCCTCAAGTGATCTCAAGTGTTGTTTCATAGAAATACCTCTGACGTCACGATCCAGCATAACAGCGATGAGTACGCGAATACCTTCAGGCGAGTCGATTTGCGAAATCGGTGTCTCTAATTGCGAAGACCACACGAGGAGATCTTAAATACGATACGACGTTAAATATGACATCGCCAGAGCAAAACGGAGTATCGTGCGAATTTCGCCTCGATGTCGGTGATGCGACATTCAAGGTCCACGAGTACAATCAGATAGCCGTAGAGAGGCCCGCGCGCGGAACTGGTTATCCACAATAAAAATCAAATGCCAGATGGGTATCGCAGAGAAGCACTCGCGAATACCTGCCGGGTAGATACGTACACGCGTTGCCTCGAAGTTATCACTCCGGATGCGAAGATATCCTTCTGATTTCGCGTCGCGGATGAACTCATCGCCTCATAAACGGCGCCTCCCGCGCCAAATGTCGAGGCGGTTGCGATCGATCGATCGATCGGATCACCATTCAGAAATTCAAGAATGATGATATTCCCCCGATAGTCTCACTCGGAGGAGTCGGTCGCAGTGAAAGTCAGATTTTTATCCGTCGCATGAATACGCGCGCACAAACGTGGCAATTGCTCCTGCTCGGGCCGGACGGTGTCCTGCGAAGGATGGAACTTTCTATTCGCGAATTTATATACAGGGTGTCCGATAATTAATGGCACGCTCGTTGTGTGCTGGTGGAACTCTCATCAGCTTCATTATCCCATTCGACGAATAAACCTTTCCTCTTTCTTTTTTCGATCCCATCTTTATTTTTTCTCTCCCTCCATCGTATTTCGTACGCCAATGCGAAGTTGTTAACGAAATTTTTCAAGATTTTTGACGTTATCGTCGCGAGCTTCGTTCGCGACTTCTTGAAGAATATCGTTATCTATTATTTTCTTTGCACCGAGCGTAATTATGAGGGCGGGAAAGCGTCTTCAATGGAAATTAACGACATATGGCTTACTCAAGTCGATCGACGGGTTCTTTCATCTTCCTTGCGAGAAGTGGAACGTCATTCGTAGATCTATAATGTAATGGATCAAAACTAGCGAGAAAGCGAGAATGATTCCGCGATGCCAAAATTGCCTTTCTCTTTCTCGCGAGACTTTCTTCTCCGTTAATGTCCCGCGGCCTTGTTATGGCATTAGTTTTACTTATGTTCCATAATGCTTCGCAAATTTCAACTTCTCTGATTTTTGCGGGCAGTAGAGTGTGCGAATCAGTCGAAATGCGATGAAATTCACGTGAGATTAAATAAATCGTCAAGTATGAATTCGCAGAGTACGAAGTGCCAGGTTGACCAAACGGCTTCTGTTTCGTTGTAGGCATTCAGGAGACCGTGAAGTTGGTTCAGGCGGCTGGCGGCACATGTTATGGCTACGTTTGCGATTTATGTGATCGGGAGGACATATACAAAAAAGCCAATATTATCAAAGAAGAGATTGGCAAGGTAATAAGTTTCCGGAGTCGTTATTTGATAGACTACCTCATCGCCACGTATGTGTGTATGTATATATATATGTAATGTTGAACAGTATATATGTATATATTACGTTGAATATGAAATTCGGAATCACACGCTAAGTGGAAAGACGGGTAAAAGATCGAATACTATTTATGTTTTGTTTGTGCCGTGAAAGAAACATAATATACGACATAAATTCCGGACACGAAGCAGCGTTGGGTATTAATCGACGAAATTATTTGCGATATTATATATGACGATTAATTAATGTTGATTATTAATTCACCGATTATTTTAGTCAAAGAGAATTTTCATCAATTAATGCCCAAGTCTAGCGCGAGAAATTAATTATTAATTAGTGTACACTGAGGGAAGAATTACCTTAAAATCACCAAATATTTCTTTGATGGGTACCATTAACACACACATATTCACTTAATTTTAAATTCTCTTTATTTAGATCAAATACTGTTTACCTGATTTAAATAAACAATATTTGGTTTAAATAAAAAGAATTTAGATTTATAAATAAATATGTTAATGGCACCCATCAAAGAAATATTTATTGATTTTAAGGTAATTTTTTTCTCGGTGTATATAATCAGTCACGTTAAAATTTGATAAATAATTGACTTTATTGATCGACGGAATTATTTACGATTTTGTACATAGCGATCAGTCAATGTTGACTATCGACTTGCCGATTATTTTAGTCGAAGTGAATTTTTATTCGGTGATCCTCGCTGAAAATAGAAACTGTCGCGATTCACGACTCGTACTCGACCACCACCTTGGCGATCGTTCACACAAGCACGCAAAAGGAGCGGATTCTCTCCTTAGAAGACAAATACTCGTCCAGCGCTCGTCTAGTCCGTCATGCGATGAGTATCGCCGCGAATAACATTACGAAAGTCCACGTTGCGCCACAACATTGCAGTGCACGTCGTCGGGTGGTCTCGAGAGAGCCGCGAGAAAAATGTTTCTCGTCTTCGCGTTCTCACCTGCCACGTTTGGTCGCGATACCGCGCGTTGTTTTCCATGTGCAGGTGAGAAGCCTTGTCGTTGACGATGTCCTTCTCCGCGTCCCGGTCGTGTCTTGCACCGAACTTTTCTCAAGCGAGGTAGAGAGGTCATTTTTCGGGTGTGCCTTGTGCGTCCACAGGTGACGATTCTCATCAACAACGCGGGCGTCGTCACGGGTCTGAGGCTGATGGACACTCCGGACAAGCTTATCATCAGGACGATGGATGTCAACATCATGAGCCATTTCTGGGTGAGTGAACTTCACATTCGTAGAAACTCAACGCAGTAGCGCTGAAAGTAACACCCTATATTACGAGTCGTTTAATGCAAACATGCTTTATGTTTACGCTAAGATGAAAATGATAAGATAAACGAGTAAGTTTAAATGATATCCTCCAGTAAACACTAATTACGATGTTGTAACTTCTTTCACATAAATATTTTTCAATGTTACTATTTTCCTAGGTTGTATTGCAAGCATCTGTCTTTTTTGAGGAAAACTTTACTGAAAATTCACGGTGTACGTAACGTCCCTTAGGAAAAATTACTTTCAATTGTTCAAGTTAACTTAAAGTTGTTTAAAGTTACTTAAAGTTATTTATAGTTAACTATAAATAATTATAAATTATTATAATTATTTATAAAATAATTATAAAATTATTTATAATTATTTATAAAAATAATTATAAATTATTTATAAAAATAATTATAAATTATTTATAAATAGTTAACTATAAATAACTTTAAGTAATTTTAAGAAACTTTAAGTTAATTTGAACATCTTAAAGTAATTTTTCCTAAGGGGTAAACTATATTTTCAGTAAAATTCTCCTCAAAAAGGTCGTTTTGGAACACAACCATAGCGATTGATTTTCTCAGTGATTACTTTGTAATTTATTTTTTTTATACATAATTTTTTTTAATTTCTTCATATATATATATATATATATATATATATATATATATATATCATTTATCTTTCCTTCTTTTCTTAAAGAGTACTATCTTCCCGTGGATAAATAAGAAAATAAACTTTAAAATGTTTTCCGCGTAACATTACGTCAATATTATAATTTTCCATTTAGCGATGTAAATACAATACAACACGTGTTGCATAATAAATCACGTTGTTGAATGAAAAGTTATAATGTTTATGCAATGTAGCTCTTAGCTGCGATGTGTTCACTGGCTCTTGTTATTTCTTTTTCTTTCTCCGTGGCGAGATGAAGAAAGACGCACACACACACATCGCGGTGTTTGTGACATTTTCGTAAATCTCTCTCTTATCAAAGTTGCCGAGATAGCGACGTTATAACACACCGTTCGTCAGGGACGTTGTGAAAAGAGGTCTGCGGACGTTCTCGGGCCTCTCGCTCGAGATTTTGCAACGAGATACCGTTGATGTCGAAACCGCACGTCTCGGGTCGCGATAATACGCCAGCGGCGATATTTTGAATTACCTGTTTCGGGGCCGCGAATTTGGGTCTGGATTCAAAGGTCGCCGATCTATGAGAAGGAGATGATGGCGAAGCCAGGAGGAGGAGGAGAAGAAAAATCGCGGTGAGAGGCATTCCGCGCTCGTTCCTATCGTTTGTTGCTGTTGGTCAGGTACACACAAGAACCGGTCGGATAGCGTCGGCTTATTCGCAGTGTTGCGGTGTTCTCGGGTCTCGCCGTTGCGACACGCATCACCGACACCGGCTGGCCGAACGCAAATAATCCCTTAATTCGAATTCCTGCTCAAATTAGCGATCCGTGAACTCTCGTTCGCTCTGGACGTGCGTCGGTGAGATCGATCGTCGATCTTATTCCTGCGCGTTCGCGGTGGCGTAGGCTCGTGATTTACTTTCCAATTCGGCACGATTCCGTCGTAAAACACGTTTACGTGTTCCCTCGTCGCGTCGACATATTCTTAATCGACATGTTCTTAATAATCCACTAATAATTGTTTAACGTGTCCCTTCGGAGACGTCGCTGCATATGAAAATAAATCTTGCGTAAGCAAAATTTATACAAAATATTAATATATAATTAGTATATAATTTATACAATTTATTTATACAATTTATTTTTATTTATATAATTAGTATATAATTTATATAATTTAATATTAGTGTATAATTTATACAAATACCAATATTACGCAATGATCCATGCGTGAATTAAAGTGCAGCAAATGCCGTTACTATGTTTGTAATGACGAGCATAATGACGGCATAATTAATATCGATGTTTTTCCGTCGTAGCTTACGTAAAGACGTAATGATCAGGGGACAAATAAATTAAATCTCCTAGCATTTCCGTGTTGAAAAACTGACATTGTAAAAAGTCACTACGTCGACACAAGCCGGTAAAACGTAAATCTCAGCTGGTCGTTAATTTCAATATTTTATGTTCCTGTAACATTGGATGGAACGTTTCTCGGTGTTGATGCCTCGATTTTACTTCCATTCGCTCGAATAAGCCGCAATGTATATATTCGAGATATTTCTGTATATCCTTGACGGTATAATGATGGCTCGCTTACTTGGTCAAGGCCGACGTCATTGCAAGCAATGAGGTCTCGTCAAATTTCGCGACGCTCACCGATCGGCGAAATGAGCGGTGATCCGAAAATTCGTGGATTACACGATCAGAGACCAGAAATCGCCGGTTCATGTCGCCATAAATTTCACGTAGGTGGAATCTCGGTGTGAACGGCGGCAGTTTGTCGCTTGAATGAAACCTGACTAGAAATTTATTCCGTGACCCTGATTAGATTCATTCCAATCGGTTATCTGATTTGTATGAGGTGGCTGACACGTCAAGTAACGTACAGAGTAATAATCAGGACTTCATTAATAATAACACTGACAAGAAAACCTCGTCAGGTCGAATACACGGATCTTAAGAGAAGCTTCATCGAATAAACCCAGAAATTTTTGGAATTCGAATGAGATGAGGTTCTCTTGTGAAAGATAAAAGAAATACCGAACGAATATTTTCGATGCAAAATCCGATCAATTTTTATATCCGATCAGAAAATATCCGATGAGAAATTATCGGTTCTTAATTTTTTATATCGTGTTATTTTATACCGAAAATGCCATTATGATTGTATCCAACTAGATTTAACAGGATATTCTGATCGGATATAAAAATCAGTTCCATTTTTTTGGATCAATAACCTTCTCTTAAAATGTTTTCTGGCAGCCGTTTTTCTTACGATAATTTGAGACGAGCGAGAAATCACCGGACTCCAAATCGGCAGTGCGTCACACATTTTGCAAAAGGCGGTCACAGTTGTTTGTGTCATTCTCTGTATGTGTCTACGAGTTATACACGCCGATTCGGTTCTCCGCGCGAATTTTCACTTGAATCGCGTCTGACCAATTCACTGAACCGAAGAATGCATTAAATAATGGTCATTTAATGTTACCCTATTCAGTGGGACGGTATTGTCCACTTGAGGTCTCAAGGTTTTTACTTTATTTCTCTGTTATTTCAAATTACTGCAAGAAAAGTGGCTACCAGGAAACATTTTAAGAGAAGCTTCATCGAATAAACCCAGAAAATTTAGAATTCGAATGATGACGTTCTCTTGTGAAAGATAAAAGAATTACTGAACTAATATTTTTTATGCAAAATCCGATGAAAATACCCGATGAGAAATATCGGTTCTTAATTTTTTGATCATGTTATTTGATGCCGAAAATACCATTATGATAGCATCCAACTAAATCTAACTGGATATTCTGATCGGATATAAAAATCAACCGGCATTTCCTCGGAAATATCCGTTTGATAATTGTTTATCGGATAATTTCATTCACTGAAGGATTATTAATAATTAGGACATTTTTTAACATCAGAATAATCGTGATAACATCACCTTATTCAGATCTAATAGCTGATTAGGATTAACCTGAACCGTTAGTCGGGACCACCGTTGTTCCCGATGATTTCTGATCCGATTTTTCGCGCATGAACGCGCAAGTAACGGGGATAAAAGTCCGAAATGAATAAATACGCCACAGGAATTGGTGCTACAGGCGAAATTCGTCCGCAAAAGTGGGTTAACGATTTCGACAAGGGGACCTGCGATGGCACCGAACCGATGGACCTCACGGATCTCGATGTCGGCGCGGTCGTTTCGATAGTAAATCCTGCTGCCTACTTTCCAACGGTCCTTTCCACTTCCCTACGAGCGATCCGACCCGTCAACAAGCATTATCGCGCATACTCCAACATCTTCATTTAACTCTGTCCGGAGGAACGAACGTCGTTCGGGCGCGGAGCTTTCTCGCTGAAGCTCTTTTACTGTTATTCGTATCGGCGCGATCAATCAGCGATGATCCACGTTCTTCTTGTAGACCGCGAAGGCGTTCCTCCCGACGATGATGGAGAACAACAAGGGACACATCGTGAGCATAGCGAGCTTGGCCGGTCAATGCGGCGTTTCGAAATTGGTGGACTATTGCGCGTCCAAGTTCGCGGCGGTCGGATTCGACGAGGCTCTGCGGATGGAACTTGAGGTAATAATCACGCGCTAGTCGATGACGCGAACGGGATACGCGAGGGTTTATCCTTCTTGGGCATTCCAGCATACTGTCCACTGATCGATTAAATTTCGCTCACTATTCTGCTTCAGTACGAGGGATACGACATCAATACCACGGTCGTGTGCCCTTATTTCATTCGCAGCACCGGCATGTTCGACGATGTTCAGTCCAGGTACGAGACATCTTCCGGCACACTCGTGGAAGAGTTCAGCTTCCTTTTCGAGTTAGATTTATATGACTCTGAAGGCACACGTTAGGCAGTTACTATCGCTGCTAACATGCTAAAAAAGGCAGCCATGTTATGATTTTGATATCATACATTTATTTTGAAAAAATAGAAAATTAGAAAAATAAAATATATACTGAGTACTTTAGTTTCATTTTAAACATCCTATGTACATGGAAAATTTTTTAGATATGAGAAATTAATTTGGACAGTAAAAGGCTAAAGTAAAAGAAGGAAAATAAACTGTGCGATTGTCAGACAGTCAAATGGAACTATTCGGCCGATCTCTACACTCAGAGGAAGGTATGACTTTTAGGCGATTTGGGGACCGCTAGGTGAACGAAAAATTTCCTATTTTTTCCTTCGTATTTTTTCTCGTAGAATTAAAAAATCGACCTTAAAATACGCCAAGTAAAGGGAAAAATAGTTATAGACATTTAAACGTTGATTTCCCTGAAAATCATGCATTTTCCAACACTGCCATTTTAAATACCTTTGACCTTTTTAGAGGTGCTAAAATAAAGTAAAAAAATAGAAAAAATAAAAAAAGAAAAAAGAAAAAGTACAAAAAAATATAAAAAAAAAGAAAAAAAATGATGGGACCGACTCTCCCTCACGTCCATGTTCGTGGTCCTGCTTCCGATAGAGAAGGGAGATATTTTATTTGTGTGTAATACTGCTAATTGAAATAAATGGTATCGGTGGATATAAGTAAAAGCAAATCAGGTGCTCAAGACTCGTTAGAATTCACTTGGTTCACAATCATCAATGAGCTGCCGATGTTTTTGTGATATAATTTTATGATGACATTGAATTTCAAAAAGTAAAAGAATAAATAAAACATCAGAATTTTTTATTTACTAATGCCTTTATAATCCTAAAAACGCTGGATTACAAAATCACGTATTTTGAACGTTAATATTTTTTAAATTGACTGCTGCTTTTTCTCTGCTGCTTAGAATTTTCATATCATTATCAAGTTTTGAGAAAATAAGTCTCCTATGTAACGTGAGATTTAGCACTTCTAAAAAGGTCAAATTTGATTTTCAGGAAAATCAACATTTAAATATCTATAACTATTTTTCCCTTTACTTGGCGTAATTTTAAGGTCGATTTTTGAATTCTACGGAAAAAAATACAAAGGAAAAAATAGGAAATTTGCGTTCACCTAGTTATCCCCAAATCGCCTAAAAGTCATACCCTCCTTTGTTTAATGTAACTATATGTGCTATCATAAATCAAGATGATTATGCTGCAGATATGTCCCGACTCTGAGTCCGAATGACGTAGCCGATCGGATTATAACGGCGATGAGGTGCAACGAGAAGTACGCCATAATACCAGGATACATGCGGATATTGTTGATCTTAAAGTGGTAAGTCGGACACGATCGCGTCTCGGCCGCGCGACTCGCGAGAGCGCTAATTGCGAGAGCGACGCAATTGCCGCAGGTTGTTCCCGTGGGCGTGCAGTGCGATGTTCCTCCGCGGACTGGTCCGAGACGCCGCGCCGGCTTCCCAACGTCAGTCGTGCGCGGCCACGACCGCGAGTGACTGCAACGTGCCGTCCAAGGATCAAAACGGCGCGACTATTCACCAACAGCTGGCCAGACGTGTCTCCAGCTCGGAGAGAAAGCCCTGAGAGCCCTGGTGCGACCTTTACGTCTTCCAGCGAGTTCTCGGCGAACGAATGGTAAAGGTCGCGCTGTCTAAGCGTAGATATAAAACATTCCCACACACCCACTCACACTCACGCGCGCGCACGCGCGCACACACACACACACACACACACGCACGCACGCACGCACACATTATATATATATAATTCCGGCGATTATACGATGGCGACTCGTTTCATAATCGAGTCGTCTTGCTTGATATTGCGCAAAATTGAGACGAGTACCTCGAAGCGAGGTAACCGAAGGAAAGCGGCACGACGGTCGACGTGAATTCTCCGTTCAGGGAGCCGCTCTTGGACGAAAGATACTCGGCGGCCGGGACGTCTCGACGACTCCTTTTGCGCTCCCGTATGTCTACGCAAAGAAAACAAACGTAATCACCACCTTGCAGCGTGGAATGTGATCATGATATTGACGACGAATCGTCCTTCCTCTCGTGCCTTCGTGTGCGTGATTTTAATTTCAAAGCGCGTCGCGCAATTACACTCGGGTTGCACTCCAAAGCATCCTTCTTGAGGAAATCTTATTCAATACTTTACGGTATGTGTAACGTGAATTATAAGTATTGAGTACACAATTTTTCCCAAAAAGGACGTTTTGAAATGCAACCTTGGCGATACGTGTCGCGGCGAGGCGACGCGTAACACATCTGTGCTTCCAACTACAACCTGTTCCGCTTACGAGAGTGCGCCGATCGATACACTTTCTCACGTCACGTCCGGTCAGCTTGTTTTGTTTTTTGGATATGGGTGACGTTTCTGTTCTTCCACTTTTCAAGTGGCGGGTAGTGGACAACAAATATGCCGTTTTGCGGAGAAATGTGATACCGATATGAGACGAGCGACGTTAATATTAGCGTATAAGGGGGAATATTATTAGGACACCATGTTGGGGAAATTGGCGATTCTGCGAAAACTCACGGGAGAGACACCGTTTTTCCCTCGCGCGTGCGCGAGCTATCTTCTCTTCAAACGCGCGCGGCGAACGCTCGAGTTACACGAGAACGACGGATATTACGACGTACCAAATTAATGTACGAACGCGATACGCGATAAAAGTTGCGCAGTTTAAGCTTCACTCTTCCAAAGCGTAGTTTTTAAGTGACAATTTATCCGGTAAGAACAATTTATGCGGTCGCACGTAAGGATGTTGTACAGAGTGAGCGTGTACATATATGTACGCTGAGAGAAAATGTATCTAGAGAAAAAATTGCGAATATTTATTTGGTGAGTATAACATCAGTTGCTAACAACATTCAAATCTAAATTCTTTCATTTCAATAGAACGAACGATCGCTTTCACGACATTTTCAAGCTAAGAAGCTCTCTTGAGGCTTCAAGAAAATCTATATTTCCTTGTTTAAAACATATTTTATATTAGTACAGGAGTATACAAAAAATATATGTTATTAGCGCAACTACCGAATAAATACTTCCTATTTCTTAGATACTTGTTTTCTCTCCATATACGGGACACGTGTACATATGTGCATACGTCTGAGATAACATATGTAAGTAAATTTTCGCTTGCGAGACGATTTGAACACATTTTTCTTTTGGTAATGTTAGAAACGAAACTGTCAAAAGTGGTTTCAATTATGAAATACTGTTTTAATAGAGATCCAAGTGACACGTCAGACGTTCGATTTTGTTACAATTGCAACGAAAAATTAAAAAGAAAAAGTTTTTTCTTACTTTAAAATATATTTTTCTTATTTTTTGCTTTATTATAATATCTTGTTCACACTTTTCGTAGCACATATTAGTTTTATTAGTGCAACACCACTTCGATTCTTGTCAAATTCGATTACTACGCGAGTCCGTAAATAACAGTTTGCAACTTGTGCAATTGTGATTATCTAATGCGCCTCCAATTTCACTGGAAAAAATGTATTCGGGTCGTTTCGCAAACGTATGCCCGAGTCTTATATACTTTATCGCGGTTACTTGGGGGGTGTTTTCAGAATGAGGAAGTTCAGACATTAGAGTTATGTAAAAGGTAAGAAAAGAAAAGAAGTCTTACTTTATTTTCGATACTAAGTAGTCTTAGTATGCGTATAAACGAGGGATATTTTTGGACGACAATTTTATCGACGCGAGGGAGATAGCGTCGACATGGAAATGTATATTACTCTTATGGATGAACATTGTAGCGATACCTTTGAGTAAAAGTGGCAGCATGCACAAATCTCCTCCTTATATAAATCCTATTTTTTATTTCTCAACGAAGTCGATGATAAATTTTAGATTGTAGGAGAAGAAGCGAAAGAGAGAGAGGAGGAAAATGCTAATCAGTCTCTACCCAGTGCCATAATTTATTTCAACAGTCGCGAGAGAATTCGACGAGAAATAACGCGTTACGATATCTTTCATGGCATTTTTTGTACTGTTTTGCGACACGAGGGGATACAATAAACTGTACCTGTCATACTAGATTGCTCTTTATGCGGATGATATGCGCCGGAAGAAAGGAAATTCGATCAGAGCAACGATCTCGAGGACAGCGGTGAATTGCTTGTTTTTTCGCGCCGACAACAACAACAATCGATTGATCCCGAGCGACCGATCGATTGCAGCATCTGCCCGATTCGCGTTGAAACATAAACGCGCTTCGCGATAACTCTTAGAAATCGTATAATTTCTGTACGTAATACGCGGCCTTTCGCGCATAAACAGATTAACGTTACGAAAAGACTGACTTTCACTGGGATTTCGCTGCTTTCTGTTCGCGATACACCAAAAGCTTTCTATTTTATGCGCGATCACGAAGAATCGTTTTTGCCTGCTGAAATCTCGCGGGGCGAGATCTAAAACACGCTCCTGTCTAAACACGTATCATATACGAAAGATCACACGAGACATGAAACGAGATACACCGAGAGATCCCAAATCGCGGAGCGACAAGTCCGATAAAACGAGGAGGAGAATTGGCGTTGGAAAATTTACTTTTCGAAACGGGGACAGTTACGAGGGGAAATACGAAGTCAACGTTGGCGAGCGCGCGCTGGTTAAGCAAGGTTAACGTTTCGTATATTCGGCGATTTCTGATATCAATGTGTCTTATCACAATTGAAGAATCAGCACTGACGTGACTTTATAGATGAGGGAGTGTATGTAACTGATAACTTTGATGTGTACGAAGGTAAATGGAACGTCGACGGTTTCGCCAGCGAGAACTTTCACATTCGGTGATTAACACGTTCAATTATATTATGTGATTGTATAATGTAACGATATAATATAACGGGTAATATATTTATACGGTAAAAGTAACCTCGTTGGTATAGCTGAATTTTCCGTTACTTGAGGACGAGATAAAAAACTCGGTGTTGTACACTAATAGAAAAAAATATATTCAAGAGATTGTAAATATTTTTTCGATAGGTATTAACCCATTAAGACCCAAGAGAAAACCGCTAAGGATAGGCTTTTAAAAACCATCTAAATTAGGGTAAAACATCGAAATTTGTTAAAAAGTGAAAAAAAGTTTGTGTTGGATTTCAAAATTTGAGATGACGGACTAATATTCGGTCCGAAAATTTGAAATTTTGACTTATTTGAGTGAAAATCCGTATAGGGGGGGTTTTGGGTTCGCTGAGTATGAATATGCACTTATTTTTTAAAAATTTTTCAAAACGTACTTTCATTGAAATAAATCAAAATAAACATTTTTGGCCGCCATATTGATTTTTAAAGTCAAAAAACCATTTTTCTTCTACAGTCTGCTAAAGTATAATATTTTGCTCCAAAACAAACACCTTCGAAAGATAGCTTATAATTTGATTCGATTTTTAATAAAACTATGTCAAATAAAACTATGTCAAATTTTCGTATTTTTGGGCGGCCATATTGGATCCGCCATTACGAATTTTGAAAAAATAAATGCATATTCATACTCAGTGAACCCCAAATCCTCCCTATACGGATTTTCACTCAAATAATCAAAATTTCAAATTTTCGGGCCGACATATTGGTCCGCCATTTTGAATTTTGAAATCCAGCGCAAATTTTTTTTCACTTTTTAACAAATTTCGACGTTTTGCCCTAATTTAGATGGTTTTTGAATGCCTATCCTTAGCAGTTTTCTCTTGAGCCTTAATGGGTTAATATAATATAATTTTCTTATACTCTAATATATATATATATATATATATATATATATATATATATATATATATATATATA